AGGGTATGGCAAAAGTAGGTTTACAGTTGTTTGTGCATGAAACAGTTTATTCTTTTTTAAAAAAATATATTTTATTGATTTTTTTACAGAGAGGAAGGGAGAGGGACAGAGAGTTAGAAACATCGATGAGAGAGAAACATCGATCAGCTGCCTCCTGCACAAGGGGATGTGCCTGCAAACAAGGTACATGCCCTTGACCAGAATCGAACCCGGGACCCTTCAGTCCACAGGCTGACGCTCTATCCACTGAACCAAACCGATCAGGGCGAAACAGTTTATTCTTGTATTGTTAATTATTGGATTATTTTCCATACAAACAACTGTAAACCTACCTTTTCCCCACCCTGTATTTATCTTTGCAAAAACATTATTTTATATTTTTGGAAAGTAAGAAACCCAGTGCTTGTATGATTCCATCTCTTAGTCCTGGGTTCAAATTTCTAATGTAAATTAATTTCTTTTTTTTATGAACCATTGTTTGACATGTAGTTGACCAGCTTACTAATAGGTTTCAGAAATTCCTATAATTTTGCTAATGAAATAGTATTGTTGTGTTAGGTTGATTTAAAAAGAAAATATATTGCCCAGCCAGTGTTGCTCAGTGGTTGAGCATAGACCTATGAACCAAGGTCAGGGTTCAATTCCTGGTCAAGGCACATGCCCGGGTTGTGGGCTCGAACTCAAATGGGGGTGTGCAGGAGGCAGCCAATCAGTGATTCTTTCTCATCATTGATGTTTCTCTATCTCTCCCTCTCCCTTCCTCTCTGAAATCAATAAAATATTTTAAAAAATAAATATTATTTATCATTGTTTATAATAGCATTACTTATAGTAGCAAGAGATTGGTGTTGTTAGTTTGTGGTATATTCATAAAGTGAAATACTATGTACACATTAAAAAAAATAATTACAAAGCTCTTCATGCAAAGATGTGACGTGAACTCCAAAATATGTCAAGTACGAAAAGCAATGCAAAACAGTGTGTATATGCTGCCATTTATATAAAAAACCAAAAGGGTAATGTAAGACGAGAACAAATGTACATATCTGCATATGTATACATAAATTAGCTTTGTAAAGACACCAGGAAACTAGTTATACTGGTTGCCTGAAGAAAAGGGGTAAGAGGCACTGTGTATCCTTTTGTAGCTTTTAAATTTTAAGCCGTGTAAATGTATTACCTTTTTAAAAATAGTAAAAACAAATAAAATTAAAACAAATATATAACCAATGGCTAGACCAGGTTGTGATTTTTTGCAAATAGTGATAACCTTCAAAATTATTTTTAAAGAATGTTGTTGAAAATTTTGTTTTGTTAATGTTGTATTACTGATACTAGTTAGAACAGTGGTTCTCAACCTTCCTAATGCCGCGACCCTTTAATACAGTTCCTCATGTTGTGGTGACCCCCAACCATAAAATCATTTTCGTTGCTACTTCATAACTGTAATTTTGCTACTGTTATGAATCGTAATGTAAATATCTGATATGCAGGATGTATTTTCATGGTTACAAATTGAACATAATTAAAGCATAGTGATTAATCACAAAAACAATATGTAATTATATATGTGCTTTCTGATGGTCTTAGGCGACCCCTGTGAAAGGGTCATTCGACCCCCAAAGGGGTCGCGTCCCACAGGTTGAGAACCGCTGAGTTAGAACTTGTATCAGTGTGGTCTTATGAGTGATGTGCTTTTTTCCTTCATTATAGAAATAACTAGAGGCCTGGTGCACAGATTCATGATCTGGTTGGGTCCCTTGTCCTGGCCTTCGAGGATCAGGACGAAACCGGCAGTCCGACATCCCCCGAGGGGTCCTGGATTGCGAGAGGGCACAGGATAGGCTGAGGGACCCCACCGGTGCACGAATCCATGCACTGGGCCTCTAGTATGCATATAAGATATTTGGTTAATCTCTTCCTGCCCTCCCCTTTCCCCCCTTCCCTCTGAGATTCATCAGTCTGTCCCATGTTTCTGCTCCCATAGTTACCGGCTGGTCAGCTGGTCACTTAGGCTTTTATATATATAGATAGATTGTTTATGGGATGGATCTTAACATTTGTCATAAAAATGAAGTCCTTGTGTAAGCTAATTTAACCTTTGGGAATTATATATTTGACCACTTCTAGTCTCCATTAAATACTTAATTAAAAAATAATGTTAAGAGCATGAACAGGTTTGTGTTTCAGTTCTGCCACTTAGTAGCTTGCAACTTTGGGCAAGTAAGCCAACTTCTTCAGCTTTTTAATGAAGATAAGTAATTGTACCTACTTCATAGGCTTTCTGTGAGGATTAAATAAGGTAATTTTATTGGTTAACTTCTGTAGTACCACTGTGTGCCAAACATTATTCAAAGCATTTTACATATATGAATTATTTTAATCCTCATAGCAACCTTATAGTGTAGGTAGGTATTATAATTATGCCCATTTTATGCTTGAGGAAATCAAGGCTAGTGCAGAGCCAAGGTTCAAATCCAGGCACTCAGGTTCCAGACTCTATTCTTTGACCATGATGCTGTGTTGAACACTTAGCTCTCTGATGGCATATTCACATTGTGAAACTTCAACAAATTTCAATAATAAATGTAATCTAATAATCAGTGTTACTATACAGAGATTACATATTCATCTAGAAAATACACCTAAACTAAGTCAAAGAAAAATATAGATATCTTCAACTTAACCCGTCAGAAAATAAAAATGTTGTATTTATATACATACTAGAGGTCCGGTGCATGAAATTCATGCGTGGGTCGGTTCCCTAGGCCTGGCCGGCGATCGGGGCCTTCCAGCTGCCAGCCAGGGCCTTCCTTTGCTTCGCGCCAATCCCTGGTGGTCATTGCATGTCATAGCGATCAGTCTCTTTGTTGAACTCCCATGGGGACACTTTGCATACTAGCCTTTTATATATATATTAATATACTTCAAGAAAGTAAAAATGGTAATATTTTATAACCTGTTTTGTTCATGTGTCAATATAACATGAATTTCTTGTTGCTTAATTGGATTTGTTACCTCCTGTATTATATAAAATGGGTTAAGACACTGTATTTCTTGCCTTCACTCTCTAGATTTGGCATTCTTTTGGAAGTGGGCTAAGGAATTCTTTTGAAACTTAGGGTTCAAAGTCATTTTATTGATGTAAAAATGGTGTTGTGGAGCGTGAATTAATAAGTAATTTAAATCCCTGCCTATATGTAACCTTAGGACTCTTACAAAGGAATTCCTTATTGATGTTGGCAACAGAAAACTTTGGCTACAGGGATTTTCAGGAGAAAAAGTCAATCACTGGCCACAGATAAATGGGGTGTGTGTGTTTCTTGTTTGGTTGGTTTTTTTTCCCCAACAGACTTTATAGCCAATTCTGGGTATACTTTTGAAATACCAAAATTTATAGTTTACAAATATAAAGCAGAATATAAGAATGTAATTGTAAGGAGATACAAAGATGCATAAGGCATGGCTCTTGTTAACTTGGATGCCATAATAGAATCAGCATATGTTGTGAAATGACCTTAACTGTTGTCATGGCAATACAGAATGCTATGAAATTTTCTAAACTTATAGTCCTCAAATCCTGATCACCCTATATCAGCAATGAAAAAAATTTTCATATTCAGGGATGGAAAGCATTATAACCCCAAATGTGGCCCCCTGGTTTACACATTCCTTTAGGGATCTCTCTCCAGTCATTCCTCCACCCATGTACAGCACTGGCCCAAATCTGGACCCATTACCCTCCACTTTTTTCCCCAAAGCCTTGCCAAAACTAGGCTCTGATTACTTAAACATGTCTTTTCTAAAAGGTTGGAGATTCCAAGAAGAAAATAAACAGAAATAATTACCAACTAGGTAATCTGAGTCACTTGCTATAGCTTTATTCTCTTGGCCCTGTAGACTCTGTCTCATTTTCACAGAATCTTGGAAGAAAATAAGGAGCTCACAGTTCTCGAGGGCTGCTGTTTACAACCTCTGGCCTTCTCTACCAATGCACATCTCCAATCACAGCTTGACTTTTTGAAATCCAAGGCCAAGGAAGAAGAAAACATTCTCTTTCTCTTTAAACTAAAGGCATTTTCCAGCTATCACTTCATGTGCTATTCTTTCTCTATGACTGTGGAGACCTTACTGGAGAATTTCCTTAACATGACAACCACATCAAAATATAATTCATTAAGATGAACATTTTTACCTAAAATAGAATCAGGGCATGATTTGCTTAAAGGCCTTAAAAGTCATGAACAAAAAGATGATTGACATTTTAGTGATGACTTTGAAAACTCCAGTTTCCATTTATATATGTTTAACACTCCCAGGGGATCTTTTTAGATCCAGCAAAATATTCAGGTTCATAAAACTACCACAAACCTTACTTGCCCTCCATCTACTTAGAAGGAGACTGTCCAGGAAGGGCAGCACCAGGCAACCCTTTTCACTGGCATTGTCCTCACAGGAGTGCATACACCAGAGGTTTGCTGCCTCACCTCCCTTTCATTCATCCCCTCCAAGTCAAAGTTTAGGTACAAGGAAAGAATATCCACATAGGGCACATTAGGGAGCCACCCTGGCTTAGAATTCCCATGTATGACAAGCAACAATATCTCTTGTAAAACTTTCTTGGCATAGTTTCCAGACATCCCTTATGAGTCACTGCACTCAGAGAAGCCCTAAGCTATAGCTTCCTGCCAGGTAATTGTGCAACTTTTACCATAAGCAACGTTGCCTAATACCACAGCTGATATTCACCTTAGCTTTGCAGAGCAACAGAGCTAGAAAGTTAATCCAAGGTCACCCTTGTCTTTAAAGAAGTAGAGAGAGTTAGTTTACTCTTTATCCACAACTTTTCAAACATCTTTACAAAGATGATTGTGTTTTCAAATATGCCTGAGATAAATGACTTTGAAGTAACTTCATAAATCTTCTTCTGACCTATATCCTTTTTGATATATGATAAATTTTAGCTTTTCTTCCTCTGACTGTTTTTCCTTTTTTGATAGGTCAAATCAAATATTCTGAACAGGTGTATGATGCGTGTATGGATACATTTGACTGTCTCCCTCTCGCGGCCCTCTTAAATCAGCAGTTTCTGTGTGTACATGGAGGGATGTCACCTGAAATTACTTGTTTAGATGACATTAGTAAAGTAAGTAATCTTTCATTATTCTCATGGGTTTTATATATATATATACACACACACACACATATATATATACATATATATACATACACACACACTATATATATGTGTATATATATACACACATACATACATACATATATACATATATATATACACACACACACACACACATACACAATATATATGCATATATATATATATGTATATATATACACATACATACATACATACATATACTAGAGGCCCAGTGCACGAAATTTGTGCATAGGGTGGGGGTCCTTCAACCCGGCCTGCACCCTCTCCAATCTGGGACCCCTC